TGACATATATGGAAATCTTGAAGTTCTTGATAACCAAATTGTTGTGTGTCATAAAATTCCTCAGCTTGTTATTGTTACTTATGTTTTTTAGGATAGTTTTTTTTTTTCATTTATATATTTAATATGTCTATTAAATGTTTTTAATTTTCCCTATTATGTATGCATGCAGATAACGGGATATATATATATATATATATATATATATATATATATGTTGACTATGCTTTGAATTCAAATATAGCTTCATCTTCGGATGCTGTATTTTTTTTATTTGAGCTAAGTAAAACAATACAACAGAAAGCAGTTGCGGAACTATATTGTAGAATGTTCTTTTTAGAGTAAATTACATTTTTAGTCCTTGAATAAAACTGAGTTGTATTATTATTATTATTATTATTATTATTATTATTATTATTATTATTATTATTATTATTTTGGTCTTATAAAGTTCTCTTATGCAATTTTTGTTCCTCATTTGAAGTTTTTGCATTGTTTTTATTCCCATCCCAAATAAAATAACTAGTTTTTGGATCTAAATTGCAAAAATTGGCTATACTTATGGATAAAATATTGTCACTTTACGTGGAACAAGGACAAAAAAAATGAAAAAACTTTATAAGAATCTTAAATACTCAACATTTTTTGTCCTTTTTTTCCATCTATTGTTTTCTTATTTGGAGAAGATTTACAAGATTAAGCAAAAGTTTTCATTTCATTGACATTGAAAACCCTTCATTTCATTGGCAGTTTAATCTGTTTAATTTGTTTTGTTTATGTATGCTAGCTATATATTATGTTTTTTTAATGGAAGTTTGCAATTTTCAGGGGTCCTATTGGCGGTGGCTGTTATGCAGTCATATAATAAGGATGGAATGTAATCATAAATGGGTTGGAATGCAATCAGGAATGGCTGCAATGGAATGCAATATGATGGCTCCAATCCGGAATGTTTGGAAAGAAATGGGAATGAGGATAATCAAGTATGGTTGTATGGGGTTTATTGGATGGGTTGTATGATGTATTAGATGGTTGTTTGGAAAGTATTTATAGAATCATGTAGAATATGGTTAAATAGTTGTATTCTATTAGGAAATGAAATCTAATACACCCCTTTATTCATAGGATTCAATATATGTATTATATTTACACTTTCAACCATATTAGATTAGCCTTTTTTAGTAGTGCACACTTATATTTTATTAATTGAAGTTATCCGTATATAGAATCCATACATAAAACCTAACGTGTCTTAGTTCTTTTAACTAATAATAATTTAATTTGTATGAAATTTATAATTTTGTCCATCAATCTAATCAAGTCTTTCAAGAATCTACACCTGAATGCTACACGATTGGGATGTTCTACACTAAATGTCAATTTGTCATTCTTATCCATTATTGTAACTTTTAATTCTTGTGTGTTTTTATACATTCATTATTCTCTTCAACTTGTTGCAGAAAATGTTTTCTTCGTATATTGATTCTGGGGCCTTCTAAACAACTTTTCAACATCTCCTTCTCGGGCATGCACAACCTTGTCATTGACATTGAGAATTATACAATAATTGGACCCAACGCACGAGTTTGACAATTTTGAAGGTCGTTTAAGTTTATTGATGATTTTGATCGATGAAATTGCAAAAATGGTCCTTATGGTATGCAAATTTTTGGGGTTTTAGTCCAAACCCCGAGTTTTTTGGATTCATGGTCCTTTTGAGCTAGTTTCGTTGCGTTTTTGGTCCCTTAGAAAATTGAAAAGACTAAAATGCCCTTCTGATACATTTTTTATGATATTTTCTATTTAATTTAAAGTTTTATTAATAATAATTATGGGACTTATCTCTCTCTCTCTCTCTCTCTCTCTCTCTCTCTCTGTCTCTGTCTCCTATATACCTTTCTTTAAACCCAGTTGAACCCATACCTTCATAAGTTCGTCTTCAATAACATGAGTTAACTGGTAATGAACAAAAGACGAGCTTAGATTATTCCGGTGCTTCTCTCTCTATGTGACAAAAGAACTAAAAATTGGTTGACCGGAGAAGCATTTTACTTGTCGGAGATGGAATACTGTGGATTTAAATCCATCCACACCATCGATCCCTCTACTTCACTTACCCATTCATCGTATTCACAACCTCCTCACACCACCAGACCCACACACAATTCGGCCGTGGAAAATGCAATTCTTCCTAAAAGACAGTAAAAGATAACCCAGGAGGATGCTATTTGATTTTGATTTTGGTTTGTTACACCTAAAACCTGCGATAGGGTTTAAAACTCTTGATTTGGGGATGAAAGAGTTTCCGATTTATGGGTTTTCTCTTCAAGAACAACAGAAGAAATCGATTGAGAAGTTGAAGAACAACACACGATCCCCACCCCCATTCTTCCCTAGCCGAAGCATTCACCTTCATCGCTCCTTGATTCACCCCACACCTTCATCTTCTTCTCTGATTTACTTATGCACCTTTGCCTCATCGCCGGTCTCTGTTATCGCCTGAAGTCAGCTATCCACAGAAAAAGGGAACGATAGCCCTAAATTATGCCCATCTAATCATCCTTCGATCGATTGCTGCTGAACCAAACCTCCCACCATTGGCGTTTCCATTTCCCACCTCCTTTGATAACTCCATGGGATGGTGTTTTTGCTCATTATTGATTAATTAAGTATTCACAGGAAAGCCAACACAGGAAGAGGTAGAAAAAGACAATGGTTTGGGTGTTGGTCAAAATCATTTTGTTCCAGATTTATGGGTCCAAATCGATTTTGTTCTAGTTTCTCGAATACATACACATTGAACCTTGAAGAAATCGATTTGCAATTCCAGATTGATAGATAAGAATCGAATTTATTCCTTTTTCTTGAATAAGAAATCATCAGAAGCCCTATTCTCATATTATGGTTAGCCTGAGGTCACTATGCATAACAAAGAAGATGATAGGGGAGGGAAACCTGTAATTGATTTAGAAGGCTACACCAGGTGGGTGTCTATCAATTGTGAAAAAAATTATGGAGATTATCGATCGATTGAAGAAGAGATGTTCCAATTCTTAACGTGGGTGATATAGTGAGATGTGTAATGGATTTTGGGATTTAAGGCTCATTTGTTTAGAGAGAGAGAGAGAGAGAGAGAGAGAGAGAGAGAGAGAGAGAGAGAGAGAGTATTCTTAATTTTTTTTAATTATAAAATAGATAAAAAAAATGAAAGAAAAATGAAAAAAGAAATACATCAAGGGTATTTTAGTCTTTTCAGTTTTTTGAGGGACCAAAACTACAAGCAAACCAGCTCATAAGGACCATCAATCCAAAAAAGTCAAGGTTTAGACTAAAACCCCAAAAAAATGCATACCACAGGGACCATTTTTGCAATTTTGTCATTTTGATCAATTAGAAGACATTTTGAAAGTGAAGGAGAAGGTTATGTTTTTCATTTAATAAGGAGAGTAAATGAATTAATGGAGCTTTGTTGTGAATGATGTTATAGGTTTAACATGTATCTACATACCCGTTTTCAGTTTGATATCCTTTTTGAAACAGAATTCGAACACAGGTGCCTTTGCAAATGGACAGATGCTTCAGCTAGTTGAACTAGATGATTTTTATGTACATATATGAATAAAATGATTATATTAACATATTAACTATGTAATTTGGTTAAAACTTGGACATTATTTATATGTGGTTGCACACCCTACACCTCCTTAGGGTTGGGCCTCACGATGTTCCGTACGAGTTGAATGCAATCATAAAAGTGGAGTTAGGTGGGAGTTGTGCGAAAACAAAAAAAGCTGAGGCATATGGGTCTTAGAATGGATACTTTTAGACTTTTAGATTATTTTACCCATCACAAGATAGTATAAATAAGTGGTTTTTTATTTAACCACACTTAAAAATAATTATCTTTACCCTCTTATGTTTTAAAAGAATGGCATTGACCTCGAAGATATAAGTGTGACTGTTTTGCTAATCCAATGAGTGTCCCAAACTTGGTAAACTTTTAACTTGTCTGAGATGTCTTTCGGTACGCAGAAAGGTGCAATGGAAACAGTTTGGCCAACTATATTGGTCTCACGACAATTTGGTTTAATTATGTCATGCCACTAAGACATCCCCAACAAGATAATGACGTCAGTATCGTCAAAATTTAAATTAGATCTCCTTTAAGAGTAGTATGTATTTGAGTTAGTTTTTCCTTTTATTTTTGTACTTGTACTCTACAGTGTTTTCTTTTAATACGAATTAATGCGAAACAACTTGTAAATGTTATCGTGGTGCCTTTTAATAGCTAGAATGTTACTTAAACATACGAAAGGGATAAAATGAGAGTCCAAATAGCTTGCGTCTTTTAAGGGTGGCAAGGCAAAGCCCACTAGCTTTAAAGGGACTGTTTTCAAGTTATATAACCGGGCCAAGTTTTAGATGGGCTGTATTGACTGGGCCCTGGCGCCTGTTAACTCCTCTCCAAATTATTGGTTTCATCTATTATGAACATTTAAATATTCCATAATCATGAGTAATGATTGAGAAAAGTGGCAACAGAAATGATCATTAGGTATCTAATCATATCTCGCATAGACAACTATGATTCACAATAAGATACTTAGCTTGGGGTGAGTTGGCCGTGTACCCTCGTTTATCATCACCATAATCTAAATATTGAAATCAAATTTAACATAACATGTTACATTTATTGTTCCAAAAATAAATTGTTGCAATTATAAACCCATAAGATGTTTCTTTTTCACTTATATATGGAGAATATCTCATTATCTCGAACACCACTCCTACATATTTTCTTCCTTCCAGTGTTACCAAATGCAATGATTGCTTACATGGTCGAAAATTTTGCTCCAATCATTGAACCATATATGGAAATACTTCAACGGACATTACCTGATAAATCTTTAATGGTTAAGAGTGATTTCAGGATGATTAGTTAACTGCTCTAAAAGTAAATCCTATATTTAGGCCCATACAAATCAAAGAACACCCTTTTAATCTTGAAAAACAAGAACATAAAAACCCATTTTGTCTGTTTTACTTGATAGAGAAAATATATTTATCTCTGCCTCCTGTGGTTGATCTTGTGATCAAAACGTTGAAATATATTCATCAATCACAGTGGTTATTCGATAAATTATATTTTCATTTCTATTAACCAGAAGCTTTATCATCATATATGTAAATACAGACATATTTATAGATTGAAACACAAAATATAGCCAAGAAACTAATATAATCATGGGGAAGGATCATGATCTCGAAGCAGGGAAGCATTATCCATCACAAATGGAAGATCCTCAGCTACGTTGGGGTTTCATTCGAAAAGTTTATTCGATCTTGACATTACAATTGCTTTTAACAGTTCTCATTGCTAGTATAGTTGTTCTAACCCCACGAATCAACCAGTTTTTCCGTACCCAAACGGGTCTAATTGTATACCTCATCATTGCCATTATTACGATGATAGGTAAGCAACTCGCAAATCTCATCTCTTTCGTTGTTTTTGATGAAGAAGTCATACTGCATGTACATAATAGCCCTACGCGTCGACTCTTCTGTTTATTTTTTCTTTTTCTTTAATTCACAGTTCTCTTAGTGATGCAACTCTTTATGAATCGTCACCCACACAATATCGTCATGTTGGGCTTGTTTACTGTGATGTTTTCTGTTATGGTGGGCGTTTCTTGTGTCTTTTCGAAAGGTGATGAAGATATTTCAATGTCTTTTCGGTTTGATTCAGTTTTGATCTTCATTGAATAGAACTTTAAGGGAAAACTTAGTTAATTACTTAAGTTGTATTATATTTTTTACAGGGAAAATCATAATGGAGGCCAGTCTTCTAACCTCTGTGATGGTGGTCAGCCTCACCCTCTTCACTTTCTGGGCAGCTAAACGAGGATACGATTTCAACTTCCTGTGGCCATTTTTGTTCTGCACACTTATTTTGGTTTTAATTTTCAGTATTATTCAGGTATATGATATACTAAAGTTTTGCTGAACGCTAAAAAAGAGCGTATTCTAGTTCAACTTGCCTTTCCTTCTTTCTTTGTCTTTTTTTACAGAACAACTTTTCACACATAGTTAACGATCTGTTTACTTGTTATCTATTTTAAACAGATATTTTTCCCGATGGGAAGCTTGGTGAGGATGATAATCTCTTTTGTGGTGGCACTTCTATACTGTGGATTCATCATATACGATACAGATAATCTGATTAAACGCTGCAGCTACGATGAATATATCCTTGCTGCAACCATGCTTTATATCGACATGGTACAATTGTTTCTGACAATGCTTAGTATTTTGGGAATCATCGATGATTAGGGAGGCGGTAGGGTTTGACCCTTGACACATAATTTGAATATAAACTAGGGTTAAGGGTACTACGGATTTTAAGAACATTGTGAAGAGAGATTTATCGCATTCAACAATTTGATACGTACTCCATTCGTTGCAAAGGGTCTACAGTTAGTTGAAGAGGATCCCAATATGTACAGATACATACATAAATATCTCTTATAGTTTTTTTACATTGTTGTGCCTTGTGGGGTATATATGTATGATATATGAGATTAAACTCTATACAAATCGCACCATTAATTTTATCTAAAAGCAAGCTAAAGAAGCTACCAAACTTATTTCTCAGTTCTTGGTTGCCCATTTTATGACAATCTAAAATATATAATCATTGATTAGAAGTGATCTACATGGTTAAGTGGGACCCGAATAGCCGAGAACTTGTTGATGATTTAATATTATCAATATTATTTAAGTGTAATATGATTAAATTTGTTAACCAAAAGTGATCTTGTTGAATGAACAAGTTAGCATGGTGTAGAGGTGCACACTTGTTCAAGTTTTTCAAGATTCAAAGTACACTGTTATTTAAGGACGAAACCCCTAAATGAACGGGAGTCTGGGGGCAACGCCCCTTGGAGCGGGGTACAAGGGGAAGAGCCCCTGGCTGGGGTCGAGTTGTCTAGTTTTTTAGAAAGTTCACCCTTTTTCCCTAAGATCCGGTTTATGACAAGTTTGGTAGTTTTGATGACAGTTTGTAACTGTCTAGTGATAGTTTTCAGACAGGAATTATATAGCCGTTTTTGGTCATTTTTCTGGTACATCTTCTTGAAGAACATTTTCACATACATTCTCTGATTTCTTATTTCTGAATTTCATCCAATTGAGTGTTCAATTTGTACCATCAAAATACTTCAATTTGATAGTGAATCACGATTTTTAGAGAATTCAAGCAATTCCGTTCCAGTCTAGAGCCGATTCAGATTTTTTTTTTCCAGTTTGGCTCGGTTCTACCAAGTTAAATGTTCATCCCTATATAGATAACTCTTCTTTTGCTTATGATAATCTAGAATACACCAATGATTAGAAGTGATCTGCATCGGTCTCTCACCTAAGTAAGAACTACTTCTATCCCATCTTAAATGGTCAACCCTGGTGGGGCACGTCGATATCCCTGAGGTCACATTCGATCCATCGATTTCCTAGTTGTCAAGTTAACAATAATGAAAAATTAGGGAGGGTTGCATTTATCGTCGGGTGAGTAAGGTTACGGGCATTTGAAACACATGCTCTCTGCTCATCATATAATGCCTGGTTCCTGGTACCTATTTGATTATAATTTATTCACTTTTGTAGAGCTACTCGACGAGTTGGAAGCCCCAAACTCATCGAGTAGAAATCATAATGGATGCGGGATCTTAAGTCACCTACTCGACGATTTGAGGGCCTTGACTCGACGAGTAGGGTCGCCAGGATGAAGCCCTAATTTCGGGATTTTGCACCCTATTTAAGCATCTTAATCCCCACCCCTTAGCCTCATTTGCTGCCTCGAAGTCTCAAACCCTAATACACGAACCCTAGTGCCTATTTTGAGGTTGTAAGCCATTTTGAGTGATCTTCGTGTACTTTTGAAGCTTGTGGAAGAAGAGGAAGCTAGAGGGATCAAGAGGAAGATAGTAGATCCAGAAACTACACATCATTTGCTACATTATCGAGTAAGCAAGTCCCAACCTTGCTCAATGATTTCTTAGATCTCTTCTTTTCATTTTTATGAGGGTTTTTGGTCCAAATATGTTAGCATGTGGAGAATGGATGACCCAAGTGGGTATTTTTCCAGATCTAGGACTTTGAAGGGATATTATGGCATAAAGGTGCAAACTTTATGCCATAACAGCCCTCATGCAAACTCTAAGATGTTATCTTGGCCTTTTTAGCTTAAAAGGCCATGCATGGAGGAAAAAGGTAGAAGCATTACGTGTTATGATAGTGCTTAGAGTATAGATCTTTGTGAATATGCCTTAGTTTGAAGTATTGGTAGCTTGTAGACCAAGATCTAGGTCTAATGGAGTTAGGGTTTAAGCCACAACCATTATATGAGGGTATTAACGGGTAAAGCTAGAAAACTTTACCCTTAACAGGACATTTTTGGGGTACAAATGAAGTATGGAGCTTAGATTTGAAGATTTGGGGCTTAATCCTTTGAGATGAAGTCAAATACAGAGGAAATCGATGAGTCGGTTTGGTTTGTTCCGATTCTGTGAAGGACAGAACTTGGCGTGTCTGTAAAAGGACTCGACGAGTTGACTCGTCATGTCCCGTCAGTGAGTAGCATGGGAACTTGGTGAGTCAAGGAAGTGACTAGATGAGTCAAGTCAATTCAGGGTTGACTTTGTCTTTGAATGGACTTTGATTTTGGGCTATGGTTGACCCGTAAAGGGCTCTTGAATGTGAAATGGTCACTAACTGATTTCTATGTTTAAGGTATGAGTAGAATCGGTCGCGAAGCAGAGACACTTCAGCTATTCACACGACATTGAGGTGAGTTTTCCTCTAGTAGGACGGGTCGAAGGCACCAAGGCCGGCTCATATATGTATGATTAGTGAGTCGAGTGTGGGCGATACCTATATCTCCCAGTTAGTCGAGTGTGGGTGGGGCCCATATCTCATAGCTTTATTTGAGTATGGATATATGATTCATTGATAGATTTAGTTATACTTGTTGTGTGTGTGATACTTTTATGTATGTTTAGTTAGTAGAGTTTGGGAGGGACCCTTACCTTATAGTAGCAAAGTGTGGGCGGGGCCCGTATCTCATAGCCAGCGGAGTGTGGGCGGGGCATGTATCTCCTAGTTAGTAGAGTGTGGATGGGGCCCGTATCTCCATGAGTGTGAGCGGGGCCCGTATCTCCTAGTTTTATGTTATATATGTATGATATGTGGTAGTTGGGGGAGACTTACTAAGCTTCGTGCTTAGAGTTTCAGTGTTGGTTTTAGGTACTTCAGTTAGCAAGCGGAAGAGCTCAAGATGACTACATGTCATACACCACAACTTTTAGCTTGGGACGATTTACTCTGATATTTTGACACATGTTTTATATATAGTACATCGTTATGATGATTTTGTGATACATTACTTATGTTTTTATGAGATGATGAATGATATTTATGGTTTTATGAATAATTTTAAAAGAAAATTTTGGATCGTATTTTTTAGGATGTTTCAAGTTAGTATTAGAGCCTTGGTTTGAGGGATTCGGGAACACTCTTGGGTGTGTCTGAACTCAAACTAAGGAATTTGTATGGAGATTTTCGGAAGAAAAATTATTTTTATAAAAATGACTTTGAGAAAAAGAAAATAATTTTAGAAAAGCAAAAAGAACTTTGAAAAAGAGAAACCGGTGTGGTGCATGCAATTAACCAAGCTCATGTAAGTACTCCCAAATTACCATACAAGTTATGTTATGATATAATTATGAGAATTGCATGCTAGATTAGCACTAAGGATCTAGCAAGGATGTCTTATGTGCCTATTATATATATATATATATATATATATATATATATATATATATATATATATATATATATATATATATATATATATATGTATGAGCTTATGAATTACATGCTAGTACAGATTAGTTAGTGATATGATGGCCTAATTAGGATACACTTGATTATGTTTACTTAATGCTCGAATGCTGCTTGTTTTGTGCTTTTAGAAGTTCTAGTTGTCTCATTCGAAGAATTATCTAGTCTTAGTGATAGGTAATGGTGTTCACGAGCTAGTTAGGGGGAGATAACAGGGACTTCTTATGCAGCTGATGGCGGAGAGTGGGATGGTGATTATCCTAGGGCAAGCCTAGGGTGAGGTTAGCACATGAAGCAATACTAGTAGAAGGGACTTAGTGAAGTCAGGGCAATTCTTGAAGAAAGTACAGATAGATGTGGAAGGTAGTATGGGCCTATACTACTGAAAGAAGAGGATCCGTACTCGAATCAAGGAAGGCAGAGATGAATCCAGGGAGCTTGTAGTATATATGATACCTCGAGATATCATTAGTATTCTGATGTGTTTACGGAATGATGGTTTTACGCACTTGACCAGTCGATAGTTCAGGCGCCAGTGAGGGATCAGGCTCGGGCTCTGGAGCCGGGCAACTGGACGACCAGACGAGGGAATTCATCTCCTCTGAGATCATGAACAACATTCTGGATCAGACTCCTGTGATCTTCGGCATGATCAATGAGGGTATTTTGGAGCTTTTGGATGAGAGATTGAGTACCTTCCGCACTGAGGTGGCGGCCATGATGGGGTTGCACACATTGACATTTAGGGAGTTCAGAGCTTGTGGAGCTTCTAATTACCATAGGGCTCAGGACCCTATTGTGAGCACCAGATGGTTGGTGGATGTCGCCAATGCATTCCACACCAGCAGATGTCCAAAGAGGGATATGGTCTGACTTGTGTCCTGTTTACTGAAGGATAGGGCATGCGACTGGTGGTAGGAGGTTTGACATGCTATGGGTAACATTGCCCTTGTTACTATGACCTGGACCGACTTCTCGGCTAGGTTTAGAGCCGAGTTTTCACCAGTGATAGAGGTGCAACAGCTTGCTAGGGAGTTCCAGGTTCTACAGCAGACGACTAAGACGGTGATGGAGATCACCGCTAAGTTTAGGTAGAGGGCCCTTCTCGTTCCGCAGTATGTGGTGGACGAGGAGATGAAAAAGGCATGATATCATAAGATGTTGAGGAGTGACATTCAGCAGTTTGTGAGCCGATCCAGCTGCAAAATGTTGGAGGATATGATTTTTAGAGCTAGAGAGAGAGAGAGATAGAGAGAGAGAGAGAGAGATTAAGAGATGGAGAGGAAGAGGAAACTAGATGTGGCATCTGGTATGTAGGGTTCGGTCAAGAAGCCCAAGACAGATTCTCGAGGAACGGGCCAGCAGGGCCGAGGCCGCTACGGTAAAATGCGGCAGGTTACACAAGGGGACATGCAGGGCAGTTAGTTCGGGCTGCTTTAAGTGCAGTTGAACTGGTCATGTGAGCAGGGACTGCACAACTCCCACTACCACCATAACAACATTAGATTTTCTTTGCTTCCAGTGCAATTAGAGGGGCCACAAATGGTTCTAGTGTCCGAGCTTGGCAGCAGCAGGACATGTGGTGGCACCCGCTCCTGCTACATTGAGGATTACAGATGGCCGATAGGGCCGTGCAGAGGTTCCAGGGGCAAAGAGTAGAGCCTTCCAGTTTGAAAACAGAAGAGGCATATGCAGATCCTGATGTTGTTACAGGTATGTATCTTCTCCTTATCTCTTTATTCATATTGATTATTGCTTATGTTTATGTGTT